GCAATTTAAAGTTAATGGCCAAAAAAATAATTATGCTTGGGGCCCATCCTACATTCCTACTTCAGGGCCGGCTCTGCAACAAAGTATACCACATTTGGCTTGTCCCACAAAGGAGGCAGTACGTATGTATTTTGAGACCATATACCTTCTCCAGCATCTTTGAGAACCCACAACGCAAGTTCTCTTTGCTTCTAATACGTATACTTAAGTACACCTAGTTAACCTTTGTAATGGATCAAAGTCCAAAGAGAACTTGGTAACATGTTCACATCTATGTTAATGAAGCTAAACTTCTCTGACCTAACGTCAAAACGAACTATTATTGATCGAAGATTCTTCGAACTTAGCTCGGTAATACAAATCACCATTTACGCATATCTTATCAGAACTAGGATAATGGGGTTTGCATTTGATCATTCTCCATGACATTTGTTTTCTAGTCTCCATTGTCAGAATTCGATGCTCATCAGAATCACGTGACCCCCGTAGCATACACAACACTTTGAACTGTTTGTCGATCGGATCATACCCTAAATAGCTTCTCCAATAATTACCATTTGTTTCTATTGTGGGTAAGGTTATGGAGTCGTGATGGGGTTCCAAATCTCCTGTACTGCATCGTTCTTTTTCCACCCGTGTAAATAGACCAATCCACGTAAATTGATACTGATTATAGATGGAAGATATTCGGTAGAATACGTATGGTAACATGTGGCTACAAGAGACGAGTTATCATTTGGATTTTGAAGAGTAGAAGAAAAACTTGCCATTAGCTTGGAAGTTGAACAAGAGCTGTGGACAAGTCGAAGACCAAGTTAGAAACAGCTCGGTGAGATCTTGACGTTCAAGTATGTATGCCCATAATTTTGATAAGTAATGAAACGTATCTATAGACATTGCCGGGACTCTCAAAAATTATATCGATAAGAAGATCAGTTGGGATTAGGTCTGAGTATTTCCTTTTAGAGTTCGAAGATTGTGTGATCGATAGATCCTTCGAGAACAGCTGCTCCAAGCTTTTCATGGCGGATGTTTGAAACCCTAGAATCACTTGTTCTTCACTTTTTCTTACACCAACGAAATTGAGGTTGGTGGCTTATTTTGTTTATTTCAACTGAGTTTATAGGCCTAACGGCGACTACAATTAGTGAGTAGGTATTGGGCTCTAACAAAGCCAATTTATGGAATATGCTTGAAGCAAAAGATAGGGCTTACTTTAACTCAACGAGCCGTTTACTTTGGTCACACTCTAGGGTTTACTCCATTGCTAATCTTGTCGAAGATTGCTAGTGAAGCCTTTAGCTAAGCGTCACTGCATATCAAAATAATGGTCATCGATGCCGAGCAAATTACAACCAGTTGTTCCCGTTCAAGCCTCCGGCAAATTACATCGAGTATATATGTAACCACACTTAAATGACGACACATGAGATTCGGTCAGAGGGTAGATTTTATTTTGTGTATGACTTGGTTGCATAGTGGCTTACACAATTCCTCCGGTGAATATCAAGTTCGAACATTAGGAACTACATCAAGTTCGTGGAGAATGATCCATCATTGCAAACTTTATCATCCTCATAAAGATAATGGAATATGCATCAATGGTGTTTTGTATTATCAAGCAATCATTGACCAAAAATGTTCGATCGCTTGTTTTGATGTTAGGTCCTAGAGTATTTAGAACATTTGTTGATTGTAACACAAAAAATCTTTCAACATACAATACATATATCAGCAGTCCAAAGAGCTATGTTCTTTATCTATGTTTAAAGAAACTACAACAAACAAATGGACTTAGAATACAAAATGAAGCGGGGTTCGAAACGCGGATTAGTGTGAAGAAGAGCAAGAAAAGTTGGGTTTTAAAACCAGAAAGTTTCTCAAACGGTACATGAATGAATGACAAAGAAGAACAAATGAAACAAACAAATCAAGAAGTATAAAGAAACTATGATCCCGTCTAGCAAACGCTTACTTCCTTAGTTTAGAAGCATTTTCTGTGGACAATGCCTGGACCAGCCTCATCATATTCAGCCTTAGAGATCCAAATCTGATTATACACACACAAACACAAATAAATCAATCAATAAGTAGGATTTTGTTTCCTACATATAATTAAACCGCAAGAAGCTGAAAAAAAGAGAAGTAGCGGTCCAAAATTTTTACCTGCTGGAAAGTGCTGAGAGAAGCAAGGATAGATCCACCGATCCAGACACTGTACTTCCTTTCGGGCGGTGCAACGACCTTAATCTTCATGCTGCTTGGGGCAAGAGATGTGATCTCTTTGCTCATACGGTCTGCGATACCACTGAACATAGTTGTACCACCACTAAGCACAATGTTACCATAAAGATCTTTCCTAATATCAACATCACATTTCATGATCGAATTGTAAGTCGTCTCGTGGATCCCTGCAGCTTCCATTCCCACAAATGATGGCTGGAAAAGTACTTCTGGACAACGAAATCTTTCAGCTCCGATTGTAATGACTTGTCCATCAGGTAATTCATAGTTCTTTTCGATTGTCGAGCTTGTCTTTGAAGTCTCAATCTCTTGCTCATAGTCTATAGCAACATAAGAAAGCTTTTCCTTAATGTCCCTGACAATTTCTCTTTCTGCTGTAGTTGTGAACATGTAACCCCTCTCGGTGAGAATCTTCATAAGATAATCAGTGAGATCCCAACCCGCGAGATCAAGACGAAGAATAGCGTGCGGAAGAGAGAAACCCTCATAGATTGGTACAGTGTGAGAAACACCATCACCAGAGTCCAACACAATACCTAAAACAAAGTAAACCAATATGTTTTAAAACAGAGGAAAACAGAACATTTGTTTCTTAATTTCGATATCGAATAGTGTACTAACCGGTTGTACGACCACTAGCGTAAAGCGATAGAACAGCTTGAATAGCAACATACACAGCTGGAGAATTGAATGTCTCAAACATGATTTGAGTCATTTTCTCTCTGTTGGCTTTTGGATTAAGAGGAGCCTCGGTAAGAAGAACCGGATGCTCTTCAGGAGCGATACGAAGCTCATTGTAGAAAGTATGATGCCAAATCTTTTCCATATCATCCCAATTGCTAACAACACCATGTTCAATTGGGTATTTCAGTGTGAGGATACCATTTTTGGATTGTGCTTCATCACCAACATACGCATCTTTCTGATTCATCCCAACCATAACACCGTGGTGTCTAGGCCGACCTACAACACTCGGGAAAACCGCTCTTGGTGCATCATCGCCCGCAAAACCAGCCTTTACAAAAAAAAGAAAGAATGTACATCAAAAAGAGAGAATCCACAAAGGTGAAAAGTAAGTAACAAAGAGAGGAATGAGAGACTACTAACCTTAACCATTCCGGTACCATTGTCACAAACGATCGGTTGAATATCATCAGCATCGGCCATTGTTTATCGAGCTGCAATCGAAACATAAAAGATATGAAATCTTGATCAAAAAAGAGGCAATCAAAACATAAATATATGAATCAATTGCAAAGGAAGCAATCAAAACATAAAGATATGAAATCTTGACATAAACATATGAAATCTTGATCGAGAAAAAAGCAAATGAAAACAAAAAGATACGAAATCTTGATCAAGAAAGAAGCAATCTTTTAACACAATGTAACTATCCTCCATCATTAATATTACGATTCTTTTTACTCAAACG